AATGCATGTCTTATTCTACATCTTGACTATTTGTGAGCGACTGTAATCTCCAGTCCATCAGTTATGGTAGAGCTGGACCCTCCCTAACACCTGTGAATTTTAGGATTGGTTTAAGAACCATGCTGAATGAACTGTTTGGGACTGTGTAGGAGGCCACTAAGAATTATGCCACATGGACTTCATGCTGCCCTTTGGTGCAGGGCACCAAGAGAGATGATCAAAAGGACAGTGCTTGAGTATTCCTAGAGAATTTTCCAGAACTGAAAATTTGGACATATTTGCCAGTATTTTGTATCAGTCTCACAGGAGAGTACAATAGTACTCATAAATTATTCCTGCTGTTTGCTTAAGTCCTACACTCATGAGTCTCTTTTGTTTAGCATATCTTTTCTGAGGAAGAAACAAATAATTATCCTATATCTTATCTACAATATATTGAATGCTTTTCCTTTGTGAGTTGATCCCAGAGACAAGCCAGACCTAAAGTTTGAGTCACTCTGTGGGGCTCCAGGGAGGGATCTTAAAGAAGGAGAGTATTTAAGAAAAAGAACCTGACCCCTCTCTTTCAAGACCAGGCTTCCTCAGGACTGAACCCTATCCAGAGCCAAGTGGAACTTTGGGTAGAGGGAGAAGGTGAATAACTTGTGCCCAGAATCAGTTATTTTTACATATAAATCAGGAAACTGGATCTCAGAACGATTGTGATCTTCCTCCCTTTCTCCCTGCCTTCCTCCCTAGTCTGTCTAAGGGTTACATCCAGGAGCAAACTTAGCCAAACTTTAGATTATTGAAAATTGTACCATATATCATCTGGTCAAGGCCCAGCTGCCCTTTATGGTTAGTTTGATGAAGTTTACTATCCCTCACACTGTGATTTCTGTTTCCAAATCCTTTATTTCTTTACCTTTGTTGGAAAATTTGTGATAGCTGATTTTGCCCCTTCTGACTTGGCTTTTGAAGTAATTTAACAGAAAATCTTCTCGTTAGTTTTAACTTTACTTGAGATTCAGCTTTAATTTATCCATTTTTATCCTTCAGAATGACTTGCAATTTTTTTTCTTCTCTCTTTGTATACTGCAAAATGTTCATGGATAGATAGAGCCTTATTTCTCATTTGACCTTTATGTTTGCCTTCTAATTATTGCAAATGTTTCACTTTTTGTTTTCCTTTTTCCTTCTTCCTTTTTTCTTTCTTCTGTAATGTTCTCTACATTCTGCTGTTTTAACTAGGAGTATTTATTTTTGTTTAAAATATTTGGCTTTACTTTTCCTCTTAATTCCTTTTTTATGTATGTTTCAATTGCTTCATTTTTAACCTTGTCCCTTTCTCACTTCATGCTGGATTAGCTTCTGCATTTCTCTGCTGTATTTTCCCGGTTTTACAAAAATTAACATCCCGTGTTCGCATCACATGGTCTAGAAATCTATTTATTTTGTTGTAGTGAGGTCTTGCCAGTTTTACTCCCCCCTTTTCCTTTTTTATAAACTGTGCTCAAATAAGCATTCCTCAGTTCTTTATTTTTCCAAATGGATTCCTGATATTTTACTTCTTATATCACTTTTTCATTGCTTCCTCTTTTATTTCCCATCTCCAAGATGCATCCCAAGCCCTTCCCTATGCATAGGATGTTTGTAGAAAGGTAGCAACCTCTTGGAAAAAAAAAATTTCCTTTTAAACTTAATTTTGGGGCTGGGTTGATAGGTTGAGGTATGTACCTGAAGCTAAAATTTTCCCTTTTCCAAGTCATATTTATCATATTATATCACTGTATTTGGATTACTATTTTCTATTTTTCTGTGTTATGAAAATAAAAAGAAATCCAACTCTCCTAACTGCTTGAACAGTAGGAGGAGCATCTAGTCTCTTTATTAACTAATTCTATTTCATTTTGTAACAAGCCTTTAAAAAAAAAAACAACTCATGCTATACAGTACCATGGCAAAGGTAAGTGTGGCTTAGGCTTCAGCAGAAGAGAACAGGAAAGACCTCTGAAGTTGAAGGTAGAAGGCTTGGGCTTAAAACCAAACTCAGTTACTTATTAGCCCTGTGATCTTGGGTCAGTTGCTTGATCTGAGCCTCAATTTCCTCATCTGAAAAATGGGAGGACATACCTGGCTTGCTTACCTCCCAGGAATGATGTAAGCATTTTATAGCAGATATGAAAGTATTTCACTTTACAAAGCATTATGTCAATGAAAATTTTAATTTTAAAAGATTTCATAAAAATCTGTTTTCATTCCCCGTATCTTCCTTCCCCACCACTCCCTTATTTGGGTGTGTGTGGGGAATCCTTCTAACAAATATGAAATTAAATTCTTACTTTGTTCATGTCCTATCTTCTTTACCTTCTTTTTGGGAAACTTTGACATCAAATTATCTGTCATTGTCAGAGGTTGCAGACAGAAGGAGATTTGAATTGGGACCTCTTTCCCCTTATCCTACCCTCCTCAATATATATTTGTTTTTCTCTTTTCCCGTTGGCCTGGCCCCCTCATAAGCTTCACTTATGAGGAGGGAGGTGGGAGGAAAGGGGAGAATGGTTCAGGATCTGGTCCCATGCAAGGGGTCTGGTAAGGTACAACTCTTCCCATTTGGCTTATAGTACGGGGGTGGGGGGCAAATGTGGAGTAAAGGTCTTCTGATTATATGTTTAATATAATTGTTGAGGTGTGTTCTAATAAAAAGATAAAAATTGCGCCATAGGTGATTTCTAGCTCAGTCAATTTTATTGCCTGTACTGAAACTGGTATACAGTTATATTTAAAAACCTTGTTGCTTTCTCTGTAAATGTTTAAAATATTAGGGTCTGTGGTATAATATATAGTAGCTATTTGAAATCCATTTTTTAATAAGCTGAGATTTTAAAAATTCCACGCTTTATAATTGAAGGCCCATTGTAATAGTTATAGGGTCCTAGAGAACTGCCAACTCAGTCATTTTAAGGATATTTCATATAAAACAGAGATAAAATATGGAGTAGTGAATAAAAAGCAGTATCTGAAGTCAGGAAAACCTGAATTCAGGTCCTTTCTCTGAAACATACTGGCTCTGTCACACTATGTAAGTCACCTGTGACCACAGGCACAGGCACTCTCTAGGACAGTTACTCTGTGTGTGGGACAGCGATGGCCTTTGCCCAAATTAATTCAGAGGCTTTTCCAGGTAGAAAGTAGAAAGGATTTTACTTCAATCTCGAGAAAAGGCAACTCATACCGAAAGGCAGTTTGATGCAAGACTGCAGGTGGTATCAGCCAAACAAACATATTTATAGGTTGTAACCGCAACTCCTCCCTAGCCCCTACCTCTTATCCCATTGGCTGGGCTTCAGAGGGCTCAATCTAAACATGAAAAAACTACCCCAGCAACAGCAGAGGAAATTACAGAATTGTTACATAGGTTTCACCTGCCTCCCACTCCTTCAAGTATCCTCTTAGTACATCCTGTTTTTGTTCATTTCAGATCCTGAAACAATTTGTGGTGGTGATTATTTTTGCAACCATTTGAACATATCCATCCAGGCTATTTACAAGCTTTCTGACCTGGGCACAAATATACACATATATTATTATTAGGGGTCTTTACCTTATTTTACTTATTTAAGTTTAAATTTTATGAGGGGTCTTCACCAATCTCAGTCATCTGTAAGAAAGGAAGGTCTGAGATGATCACCCCCATTTAGAGTTGAGCAAACTAGGACTTTGAGAGGTTAATATCAAGGTCACATACTTATTAAATTAAAGGTCTAGGACTCAAAATCAGATCTACTTGAGTCCAGTCTTTTTGTTTTTTTTTTAACTAAATTATGACGATATATGAGTGTGTGAGCCATTGTACATAGCCTTCCTAATTTTAATCATGATTTCCCATTCACAAAACCTTTTATTTTCATGTTTTGAAGTTTGATATAGTTATGTTTCATCTTTCAGTGAGAATAAAAAGAGTTGCAAAATTGCTAGTAGAACAATTTCTTTAAGCTCAGTGGTAGGTATCCTGTAGGATAATGTGGGTGTTTGGCAACATGTCTGGATAACTTTAAAAGTAGTTTCTGTAAGTTATGGATAACTAGTGTTTGAAAGGAATGTAACTTTCTGTTTATGCCTTTTATTTCAGGGGAAAAGAGTTCTGATTTGATTTCAGTTTAAATCCCATTTATGACAAAACACATCTGTTTCAGCAATAGAAGACAACCTGCATGCATTATTATTATTATTATTTGTAGAAATTTTATATTTTTTCTAATTACATGTAAAAACAATTCTAAATTCTCTCACTTCTTCCACTCCTCCCTTCTTGAGAAGGCAAGCAATTTGATGTAGATTATGCTGTATGCATTTTAAAAAATGGAAGCAGCATTCTTTTGAAAGAGTAATTAAGCAGTTTAATATTATACCAAGCTTTCTATGGGTTTAATGTTATCAAAAAAATATTTTTTATAGAAAGAAACTTAATCTAAGATTCTTTGCTTACTGCAGAATACAGATGAACTTTCTTCATCTAGCTTTCTCCAGATGTCATTTTGGATTTAAATTTTGTGACTAATATCAGTGATTATGATGTTAATTGGGGAAAATGTTAGACTTATGAGAGAAAAGAGGAAGATTTACATAGTGCTTGGAATGAGATTTGCTACTTTTGGTTAAACCAGCACAGAATTAACTTTCTTCTTTGGCTAGCTGTAGTTAATGTGTAAACATAGTGATTTGAAAAGTATGATTACATATTAGAAACAACAGCAGAAAAAGACCAACTCGTGTACATATTTGAATGCCAAAAAGAACAGTGAGGAGCTCAGGATGTTATTTGTAGTTGGCAGAGGTTCCTGGCAGAGGTGTCTAGGATGGAAGAGCACTGTCACTTTTAGCGGGTTTGTTTTTTCTTTTTTATGTTTGTATTTTCCCTTAAAACCTGGTATTGTATAAAAATTTTCGCTGATATTGTCATGCCAATTGTTCTTTGGTGCCCATGATGATTACAAAATGCTTTTGATTTTCTTTTCTAGGAGAGCACATAGATTATTGTGGCTATGCTGTGCTTCCTATGGCTGTAGAACAGGATATCCTAATAGCTGTTGAACCTGTGAAAAGTCAAATGCTTCACTTGACCAATACAAATCCCTTGTACTCGTGAGTACTTAAGATCGCCATTATGCCTGTGTGTATTGGTTCTTAAAGAACTTTAGAGGTCGAAGGGAGTGATGTCCCATGTTTACTATAGAATTCAGACTTCATTGAAACCACCACTGATTAGGCATTAAAATACTTAAATCTGGTTGGCTTCATTTGGACACTTCCCTTTCATCTTGACTTCCGTTCTTTTTTTTTTTTTTTGGTGAGGCAGTCGGGGTTAAGTGATTTGCCCAGGGTCATACAGATAGTAAGTGTCAAGTGTCTGAGGCTGCATTTGAACTCAGGTCCTTTGCACTCCAAGGCTGGAGCTCTATGCACTGTGCCACCTAAATGCCCCTTGGCTTCCATTCTTGCTTACCTCTGTCAATGGGCAATCACAACTTTATGAAACTTATGTGAAAACCTGGTTTATTACAAGAGGAATGAATATGCATGTGGAATCCAAAGAGTTCACATACAGAGATGTGCATATTTATGACAGTACAACAGAGAGAGGAGGAGGAAATACAAATCTCCTTCTAAAGGAGCATGACACTGGAGGGGGAAAGGTGTAGTAAAGGTGGGAAAAACCCCTCTCTGAAAAGGGAGGAGTGAAGCAATAGCAAAAGCCTCATTCTTTTCCTTTGGGAACTGCTGAACCATAAAGATGTGGGGTCTTCTTATCTGCTTATCTAGCAGCTTTTCAGCCTAGTGCAGATTGACTGGTATCTGTCTTGACTCCCAAAGACACACAAAGAGTCCTGTTTGGGATGCAAATAACAAATTATGTTAGCTGGAGGAGGGCTTTGTCCTTGGCACATGTAGGGCCTCCTGCATACTCTGGGTCCTGTGTTTCTGGAAAATATAGCAACTCAAAAAGACAAATTCAGGAGACCCCTTAATATTTCTTAACACCTCATAGCTACAGCTAATTCACAGTTGAGATTATTGACACCTTGTCTTGACTTTTAGGACCAATGCAAGCTGACTACAGATTTAACAAAATCTGATTTGGAAGGGAATACAGAGACCATTTAGTCCAGTCTCTGTTGATACAAAGACCAAACCCCTCCACAACATACCCAATAAGAAGTTGTCCGTTCTGTGTTTCAAAGACCTCCACTGAGAAAGAAATTCACCGTTTCCCAAGTCAATTAATGCCGTTTTGGGGGTAGCTCTTGTGGTTATGAAGTGTTGGGAAAGACTGGTATTATATTTGCCCTAAATCTATTCTCTGTGCCAAACATCCCCAGTTCCTTTAATTGATCATCACACAGAATTAAATTGAGACCCTGCACTATCTTTGTTGCCCTCCTATAGCTGTTCTATTTTCTCTTATTTCATATAAGATGTTTTAAGTCAATGTTTTCTATAAAATGAAAAGGTTGGACTAGATGAAATCCAAAGTCCCTTTCAGCTATAAATCCAGTGATTCTATAACTTTTTATTTTGAATTTAGAATAAACATAGTTTGTAAGTGAAAAAGAAACTAGATATTTATTTTCTTTAAATAATTGTATACATTTTTAGTTGAAGAAAAATATCCAGAATATAGAAACCCTGTGCATTATTTAGAATCATTCATAAGTCGTATGAGTTTGGGGGAAAGGAGAGTGATAGAGGAGGGAGAAATATCCCTCTATCAGCACTTAATAAGTTCTTGCATTTAGAGTAACAAACCGTTACTTCATTTTCTGATGTTACAAAATTAAGCTGGGAAAAAAATCAGACTAAAGAGCTGATCAGCATTATATATACAATTTCTAAAAATGAAACATTTATCTCAGTTGTGAAGAATGTTTTATAGTTAATGACAGTTATAATAACATAGCACTTGGAAATTTGCAAAATGTTTTCCACACATTAGCTCATTTGATCCTTTCAACAACCTAACAAGGTGGATCCTAGAGGTTTTGTTATTTCCATTTTACAGACCAAAAAAAATGAAAACTTGGACAAATAGTGTTCATACGTAATGGTCATGCTACTAAATAGCTGCAGGGGAGTTATGAATCCAGCTCTTTTCTTAATCCATGTACATTGTCCTTTCTACTAACACAAAGCTCCCCCTCCTGATATGAAAATATAAGAATGCACTTTTGGAGAAAAAATATTAAATCACATCTTTTTTTGTTTTGCTTTTTTTTGGTGAGGCAATGGGGGTTAAGTTACTTGCCCAGGGTCACACAGCTAGTAAGTGTCATGTGTCTGAGATTGGATTTGAGCTCAGGTCCTTCTCACTCCAAGGCCGGAGCTCTATCCTCTGTGCCAGCTAACTGCTCCTAAATCACATCTTCTTGATGAGCAATTTATTTAGATTTGATTGTAGCCCAGCTTTTTTTGTTTGGACCTTCTGACCTTCAGGCCATGGTTGAGAATGGTTCCTCATTTATTTTCTCACAAAAGTTCCTTGAGAAAGCTTTCCCTTCCACCAGAGTTGAATTTTAATTCTACCTATGGCTTCAGAAGGTCTTTTATCCTTTTAGAACCTCAGTGATCTTGTTTTTAAAATGTGAATTCATAGAATTATGGGATTAAAAATTTTGGGGAGCTGGAAAGGACCTTAGAGATAATTTAATTCAGTCCTTCCCTGGATTTTATAGATGAAGAAACTGGGGATCAGTGGCATTAAATAACTGACATGATTAGTTACCCAGCTAGTTGATGGTATAGTCAGAACTAGCAATCAACTCCCAGTGCATTTTTCTTTTAACTGAATATTGAGAAATAGCATGGTGTAATAGGAAGAGCACTATTCTAGTGTTGCAGTGCTGGGCTTGAAGCTCACTTTCGATACTTGTTAGCTGTGACCACAGAAAAGTCACTTTATCTGTCTGAGATTCTGTTTCCTCATGTATAAAATAGGTCTGATGATGCTTTCACCCGTTTATCTCAGAATTTTTGTCAATAAAGTGCTCTGAAAACTGTTATGAGTTATATAAAGGTGAGTTTTTGTTGCAGGTGTTGAAATAAGTGTGAAAGAATTTTTTCAGTCAATCAGCAAGCATTTATTAAGCCCCACGCATACTTGGGATTCAAAGACAAATGTCTCTTTCCTTTGTTATATTGTGGGAGATGTGCACACATATAATATTGCCTAGGGTCTCACAGTTCATATTATGATTTCCATTGCATCATGATGCCTCTCAAAGAATTAAAAAAAAAATTTTTAAAATACTTTTAGAATCCCAAAGGCATTGAGCATTGCCTGTATACACCAGGTAGAATGTTGGAGAGGCCAAGTTCTCTGGTTTATCTTTTTGTAAGAATTGTGAAAAAGCATTTCACGCCTTGTATAAGAGCATGGGGAAGTAGGAAGTACACTAGATCTGGACTCAGAGGGCCTGTGTTCAAATGTCAGCTTTGCTACTTACTACCTGTATGACCTTTGGCTAGTCATATCACATGTGTGACTATATATGTGTGTGTGTATATATATATATATATATATATAAATATATATATATAATATTTATATAAATGTCATATATAATTTAAGTATATACAAATATACACACACCCACACACACACATATATATGTAAAATAAGGGGGTTGGAAAAGATTACCTCTAAGATCCATTCAAGCTATAAATCTGTGATCTTATGATGCCAAGAAAGGCATTGTTATTATCCTTCAGTTCAGTAATACTTTTTTCAATGCCTACTGTCTGCCTAATACTTGGAGGAAACACAAAAGACATAGATGGGAAGGAAGAAATAAATGAACAATAAGTATATAGGCAATGCTAGATATGGTATGTTTGAAAATTCCAGGTTGAAGAGAAAGTACATATTAGGGAGTAGTGAGATAAAGTTTGAAAAGTAAGATGGGACCAGGCTGTAGAACTTTTGAATGCCAAGATGAGTTATTTATATTTGTCCTAATACATATACTTGTTTGAGCTCACCACCATCTTGTTAGTTGCTGAGGTTGTTATACTTCGATGCTCGCTCATTAACAGGAAATTTTTTTCTTGGTTCAGGATACTGACATTTTAAAAAGTTCCCTAATAAGTGATGCTTGTTGGTGAATTTATGTCATCTTACTCTTCCACCCCATCCCAGACACTAGTTCTGGTGCAATCTTAGGGTTATGGATCTGTTTGAGCCATAACTAGCAATCTTGGCGTTCAGGACAAATTTGGGTTTTGGGGGTCAAAGTTCAGATGGAACTTTGCAAAGGATGTTGGCTGCATGGGTAGAAGTAACCCCTCAAATATCATGAGTCCATCCACTGGGGAAAGAAATAGGGTCAGGCTGGGAAGGAGCTTACCTGGGGTAAGACTAAAGAGGGTGGAAAAAGTTTGTCATTTAGTAGCTTCCTCTTTTACGCATTACTGGATTCTTGGGCCTTGCCATCCACTCTTCTGCCTTTTTTTTTTGTTGTTGTTGATAAGGTAATTGGGGTTAAGTGACTTGCCCAGAGTCACACAGCTAGTGAGTGTTGTGTGTCTGATGCTGGATTTGAACTTAGGTCTTCCTGACTCCAGGGCTGGAGTCCACCTCACTGCCCCCTTCTATCCTCTTTGCTTTAGATATTCAAGTTTTGTTCCTTGTGTAGTCTGATGAAACTCAAGCTTTCAAGAGGCTTTATCAACAGAATATTACCACGGAATTTTGGTTGGATCACAGAGTCCAGTAATTACAATTGCATGTAATTACAACAGCAATTAAAGATTCAAAACTTGGATCAGACATAGTTTCTGTTCTCATGGAGCTTGTGGTCTAGTGGGAGAATAAGCCACAAACACGGATAACTGTAATTCACAATATTACATGGCAAGTGCATCATAGAGGTCCTAGACAAATTGCTATATTCTGAGGGGGAAGGTCATGACCATTTAAGGGAATCATAAATGCTTTCATGGAAGAAGTAAATTTAATTTGAATGTGTTGGAATTTAACAAAGGAAGGACAAGGGAGCATTCACAGAATTATAGATTTTCAAAGTTGGAAAGACCCTCAGGGGTCATTGATTCTAATTCATACCATGCTTATTGACAGAAACTACTGCTGC